ATTAAAGAAATTCATGATAAGTTGTAGGTTTGTAGTCTTGGAGCGGCAATTACTCCACAAACCCACGAGGGTTGCTCAGATGGTAAGCGCTAGGAATATGCATAGACCATAGTCGATTTGATTTGATTTTTCATTAAAAAATAACTAAATTGATTATGTCGATTTATTAAATCTATAAACTAACAAAAAAAATTGGTTTTCATTTCGATTTTAGATGGTTCTTTCGATTTTTTATTTTTTTATTTTGTTATTTTACAATTATATCGTGATTGAAAAAGAGATTAAATTGAAAAGGTTATTCTCTTTGATGGTGTGATTTAATGTAGAACTTGAAGTTCCAATTGATGAGGCATCTGATTCCATTTTCAAGACACTTGAATAAGGAAAATTGAAAAAAAGAAAAGATGTACAATAGCATCTCAAAGACGTTGTGTTAAGAAAATATATCAAAAACTCACAAAAAGAAAGGTCATGAGTACTTTGGAAAAAAATAAAATCGATTCGATTTGGCTTGAAGGTGTAACTATACACCCTGACCCCAGTAAGCACCCACCAACTTTAACCTTATGGTAGTGGATTTGATTCACTAAGAAAGCAAAAGGCTAAAGTCGAGAATCTTAGGAAGGAGTAAAAATACAATAAAAATAAAATATGAAGATAACATTATTTCTGGTAACAAATTAATGTTTTCTCTGTATAAATGTCTAAAACGTCCTTGATTTAAACCTTTTCTATGTTCCACTTGGGATATATATAGTTTATAAAAGACATAGGAATAATTGGCTCTTGGATTGTACTTGTATTTTTGTCTTTTGAACAAAGGAATTAAGGGGTTTTAATTTGAAGTACATAAATATATAGTTCATGTTGTAGTGTAAAAAGACATGCATATATATAGAGCTTTTAAAATCTATATTTAGATAATAATGTACATAATATTTTTATTTTTTTTAAAAAAAGACACAGAGAATTTATAAAAAATTCCTAAATACTCTTATCAGTGTTTTAAATATATCCAAAATTAGTGTTTAGAAACTATTACGTTAATGAAAATCAAGATTAAAAAGTCTATATGCAAAATTAATAAAGAATAAAAGAGATGGTGAAACTGATTAACTACATATTTAACTCACACGTATTTAAATAATAACAATCATAAATGGACTACCTTGAATTTACTTAAATTAAAATCTACATTAATTTGATCATGCTTGAAAATAATAAAAACATTTCAGGTTTGAAAATAAAATAAAATTACACATTTCTAAAAGTTACCATATTTGGTATTTCGGTTTATTAGTTTAGGAAACTTTTTCATAAACCATTTCCAAAAAAAAAATAGGAAAGCGTAATTTTTCTACGTATACATATCTTCTCTTCGATCAACTTTCTTTCTATCAAAATTCAGCTTTTATTAATTAGCTTGTTCATTGTTACATTACATTATGAACACAGAGAAGGATAAGACGTTGGAAAAGTCCCAACAACAACTTCTTCGGGCTGCAATGTTGAAGAAGCGCTATGCACATATAATCGTGAAGTCCCAACAACAAGTTCTTGGCGACGCGTATAATGAAGAAGAGATGAAGAAGAAGTCTGCATGGTGGGATAAGCAATTGCAACAAGAGAAAGCCAATTCAAAGAGGGAAAGAGATAAAGATAGAAAGGCAGCGAGGATCGCCATTCAAAGCAGCAAAAGAACCGTTAGGTTATAAGGAGAATACTAGATTTGGTATGGATCATTTACATATATTAAGTAGATTTCTTTAACAGACTCTCACTCCCACCAGCTGCCTCATGAAAATAGACTGACTGATAAAGTTTGTCTGCACTGATTTGTATATGAAATCATGGCTCTTCTGTATAATAGAAATGTGTGACTTAATAAATTATAGATCACTTCATATATTTATTTCCAAGAGAAATATTAGAAGAATCTAAATATATAATTATGTTATATACGATCTAAAGTGATAGTAAGAAAATTGTGATGATATTAAAGAGCAAGGAAAAAAAGATGGCAAGATAAGAATCAAAGACAATGAACTCTACCAAAATTTGTAACACGTTTAATTAAAAATAGAGAGATCCTCCTTTTATTTGATTTAAAAAAAAAAATATTATTGTACATTAGAAATAAGTTTCCTCTTTTTCCCATTTAATCCTTAAATGAAGAATCTTTTTATTTTTTTAAGAAAAGAAAAGTTAATTTGGTCTTGTTCGATCTGTCCCTAGTATAAGCAACACTATTACGATTTCCAATTATGAGTTATAATATTCTTTCATTTAAAATTCTTGCTCAGAACGTGTCTTGAAATTATATTTTGATCAAAGTAGCATAAACTAATGGTCACAGGAAAATATATAATTGACAATTTGCTAATTAGAAATTTTTTTTATTGTTCTTCTGGAACTTTTGCTAATATATGATAGATCTAGGCTGATTTATTTCTAAAATATATAATACTCATCAACAAGCTTTTAATATCTTAATATTTCATGAGCAGAAGATGTATTTCACAATTAGAATTACTTCATATCATGAACCATTATTCTAAAATATAATTCTAATATTTAATCAATATGGATTGTGATAAAATAATTGGAATTCTTCTATTCATAATAAAAAATCTCATGTTCGATTTCATGCGAACCAAATCCCCTTATTGTGATGAGCGTCACTTCAATAACAAGATCGAACTCTGCAATATATATCAAAATATGTATCAGGTGACAAATATACGTACAAGAGCTCAAACGACAGTAAGAATCGTGGATCAATGTAGTAACGGAGGACTAGACTTAGGCGTTAACGTTTTTCGACAAATCGACACAGACGGAAATGGAAATCATCAAGGCCATCTTATTGTGAACTACCAGTTTGTTGATTGTGGTGATAATTAATCTTATAGTTGACACCAGAATTATAAGATTCATGTTTGACTACCCAAATAAATGTTAAAAGTATGAAATGAAAATAATAATAATAATAAAGTTATTTCTTTCTGCATTTTAGAAAAGTGAATTGATACAAGTCACGTCCAACAAATTAAAGTCCCTCGTTTGTTTTATTTAATTAATGCAATGATATTAATCGAACACAAAACTAAGATTTAATATGCCGTATATATAATAATTAAAGAATATATATATATATATATAGATAAAAAAAAATAGTTTCTAATATTTTGAAAAATGTCCAGAATTAGACATTATGCTCATAGAAACAATAAATTTCTGGGAAGAGGAGGGAAAGCACTTAGATGATTCGGACAGGGGCAGAGGCAACATATACTTAGGGGGTTCGAAACCCCTCGGTGGAAAATATTACTACTATTTATATATGGTTAAAATTATTTTTTAGGTATGTATAATAGATGTCGAATCCCCTTCCCCTAATTCGTGTGTTTACTTCTCAGATTTTGCACCCCCTTATTAAAAATTCTGATCCCACAACTGGATTTAGATATGTAAAGAGGAGGTGTAAAGATGCGTTAGTGAGGAGGTTTGTGAAAGGTTGGTTGTAGACTTATAGTAGAAGTTAGGAAAAGTAAAGGTAGACCGAAATAGAGTATGTGTGTGTTGGGGGTGAGGATGGGGTGGGGGAGAGGTGATTAGATAGGATATTATTAACCAATGTCAATGCTCCAAATATTTTATGGTACACTTAATTAAATTATAAGTTGTTTATCTAAATATATATAAATTTATTTGCATTGAATACTTTCTTCTTCATTAATGTAACACTCATATATAAAAATTTCAAACTTCGTGCATCATAGAGACAAACAAATAGGATAAGATGCAAATTTATGAGTAGTAATATTAAATTTCATAATTTGTGTGGAGGTATAAGCATAATTCCAAAAACTGGTCTGCTAGCCTCATTTATTCAGCTATACCTCTATTATCAACGCATTTGTGGGTCAGAAGTAGAAATAAACTTAAGAAAGGTACTTTGTCTCTTAATTATTCCTACTGTATTTTGATTTTAATTTTAGTTTTTATTTAAAATATTTGCCTTTTTTTCATTATATAGATATATAATTTTGATTTATTTATTTGAAAAGCTATATCATAATCAAATATAAAATAATTATTGACATACTATATTGGCACTTAAATGATTTAGTATGTAATTATTCATTAATTTATAACAAAAATTTCATAAGTAGATGGATCAAACATACACATATCAAGTAAAAAATGAAGGTTTGATGTATTTTTTTAAATAGAGATCACAAAAAATAAAAGAAAAAAAATATCACGTGGCCATAGGGACACCGAAGTGTATTTAAAGTTTGGCTTAAGGTCCCTTTTTTAATTCAACGAGGAGGACTTTCTCTAGATACTTATCAGAAACGACGCTGTCCAACAATTTTTATTTTTTTTTTCATAGCCGCCTCAAGTCGTGCACTTCTAAAAGCCGCCATTAGTTTTTATGGTTTTTTTCCGATTCGTGTTCGACATTCATATTAGAATTTGACTATATATTTAAATTTTCATTGTATAAGGCTTTATTTAGGAAAATTGCTCCTTATCAAATATTTTTTGAAATTATAAAATTTAAAAATATTCTTTATTTATTTAAAAACCTTAATTATGTCTTATCAAAATCAGACAAATTGAAATGGAGGAAGCATATAACATATAATTATTGATCTTATCCTACGGCATAAAGTTTTGACATTCTCAAAAATAACACCTACTCCCTCTGACCATTTTTATTTGTAATGTTACTTTTTCAGAAGTCAATTTGATTAATTTTAAAAGTTAAATTAGATTACATTAATTCGATATTTTAAATAAAAAATTTAGATATTCAAAAATCATACGAAAAATACTATAAAATGCAATTTTTTGCATATCAATATGATGAAAATATGCAACGTAAAATGATAATCAAAGTTTTTATAGTTTAACTTTAGAAAAAAAAAACTATAACAATTAAAAGGTTGACGAATATAATATTAATTAAAAGTATAGCAGCTGCAACTTGCAAGCACCCAAATTTCAGGGACACAAACAAAATAAATACATAAATAGAGTCCTATAAAACCCCCAAATCTATTATAGATCAAACGTAGATCAATACACTTTTGGAAAAAAAATGGAGAAGCTAAGTTGTGGTCCTATTTTGCTAGCTCTGGTTCTCTGCATCAGCCTAACCTCAGTTGCCAACGCACAGCAGTGCGGAAGGCAAAGGGGCGGAGCGTTATGTGGCAACAACTTATGTTGCAGCCAATTCGGGTGGTGTGGATCGACACCCGAATATTGTTCACCTAGCCAAGGTTGCCAGAGCCAGTGCAGTGGAAGTGGACCAGCTCCAGGCCAAGGGGGCAGCGCGCAAAACGTTCGTGCAACATATCATATATATAACCCACAGAATGTTGGGTGGGATTTGAATGCTGTTAGCGCTTACTGTTCAACTTGGGATGCTAATAAGCCTTTGTCCTGGCGGAAGAAGTATGGTTGGACTGCTTTTTGTGGTCCAGTCGGACCTCGTGGTCGAGACTCGTGCGGAAAGTGCTTAAGGGTAAGATATACTACATCCTTCCGCTTTTATTGTTAATTCAGAAAAATTGAAATTAAAGAGTTATCAGAAACAACGTACATATTGAGATTTAATTATACATAGCAAGGTCAGGATAACAAATGTATTTTTCCCAAAGTAAGATTTCTTTAAAACTATTATTTTGAAATGTGTTTGGATGAGTACTGGTCAACATTCACTGTATTTTAGATCTAAATTGACTTTTACGACAAAAACCAGTCACGAAGAAAACGATTGTTATATAATTTATCCAGAATTATCTCTTTAGTTCACAATAATATTACTTAACTAATACCATCGCAAATTATATATACAGGTGACAAATACACGTACAGGAGCTCAAACGACAGTGAGAATTGTGGATCAATGCAGCAACGGCGGACTAGACTTGGACATCAACGTTTTTCGACAAATCGATACAGACGGAGTAGGAAATCAACAAGGTCACCTTATTGTGAACTACCAATTTGTTAATTGTGGCGACAATGTCAATGTTCCTCTGCTCTCTGTTGTTGACAAAGAATGAGAAACAACTACATGGCTCTGTTTATTCTGATGATTGTATTAGGTATAAAAGTCATCTTTGATGATTTAAATAAAGAATAAAAGAACAAAAATGAAAAAAAGGGGGGAAAAATGGTTACTTCGAAGGGGTTATCCAATTCCATATGATCTGTTGATCATGGATGTCTTCATTTAAGGAAAAAGTGAGTTGAAGTGTGTATTGTATTTGTGATCATTTTGTACTCGACTTATTTGAATTTTGAATAAGAAATTCCAACAACTCTTGTTTGGGGATTGAATTGGGATGTTATTTATGTTATGTAGTGAGTGACAATATGAAATTGTCATACAACATTATGTAAAATAATACTTTTACTGTCGCATACAAATTTATGTCACTCTTTTCAATTTAGTCATTCTATAAATAGGAATTTCCACATATAATCATATAAAAATAACTTAATTATGCTCCATAGCTATAGTTTGTTAATAACGATTCGTAACTACATGTTAGATGGAGGAGAGAGGCGAGCGAGAGATGACAAAGAGTGGAGAGAGGTGAGCTGTATATGTATATATTGGGAGAGGAAGGAGAGAGGCGAGCGAGATTGGGAGAGAGGAGAGAGGCGAGCTAGAGAACAAAACACAGTACATTAATAGAATATAAAACTAGGAGCCAGAAACTAAAAAAGATTCAAAGAACAAAACCCAGTACACCAATAGAATATAGGAAGAAAGATTTACTCTCAAATATGTATTAAGTTCTATCTTTTCTTATTGTCCATAAAAACACAAGATGAATATATATATACCCAAAAATAGTCATCAACCAACGGTCAAAAGAATTAAGAATTATAAAGGCTGTATATGAAGATTAAAGGCAAAAGATTGAAGACCAATTGGAAGGAAGTAGACGTTGGCCAACTGCCATATTTAGGCCAAAATTAATAATGATTTATAAGACAATTAACTGGATATTAACACCCATTTAATATGATGAATATAGAAAATAATATGAACACTTCTTTTTGAGATACTAGAATCATTTTTCCAACACAATAACATCTCAAAGACGTTGTGTTAGGAAAATATATCAAAAACTCACGAAAAAAAAGGTCATGAGTACTTTGGAAAAAAATAAAATCAATTCGATTTGGCTTGGTTTGAAGGTGTGGCCTATACACCCCCAGTAAGCGCCCACCAACTTTAACCTTATGGTAGTGGATTTGCATCACTAAAGAGAGCAAAAGACTGGAGTCGAGAATTGTAGGAAGGAGTAAAAATATAATAAAAATAAAATATGAAGATAACATTATTTCTGGTAACAAATTAATGTTTTCTCTGCATAAATGTCAAAAACGTCCTTGATTAAAACCTTTTCTATGTTCCACTTGGGATACATATAGTTTATAAAAGACATAGGAATAATTGGCTCTTGGATTGTACTTGTATTTTTGTCTTTTAAACAAAGGAATTAAGATGTTTTAATTTGAAGTACATAAATATATAGTTCATGTTGTAGTGCAAAAAGACATGCATTTATATAGAGCTTTAAAAATCTATATTCAGATAGTAATGTACATAATATATATATTTTTTTTAAAAAGGCAGAGACAATTAATAAAAAAATCCTAAATACTCTTATCAGTGTTTTAAATATATCCATAATTAGTGTTTAGAAACTATTACGTTAATGAAAATCAAGATTAAAAAGTCTATATGCAAAATTAATAAAGAATAAAAGAGATGGTGAAACTAATTAACTACATATTTAACTCACACCTATTTAAATAATAACAATCATAAATGGACTACCTTGAATTTACTTGAATCAAAATTTACATTAATTTGATCATGCTTGAAAATAATAAAAACATTTCTAAAAGTTACCATATTTGGTATTTTGGTTTATTAGTTTAGGAAACTTTTTCATAAACCATTTCCAAAAAAATAAAATAGGAAAGCGTAATTTTTCTACGTACATATATCTTCTCTTCGATCAACTTTCTTTCTATCAAAATTCAGCTTTTATTAATTAGCTTTTTCATTGTTACATTACATTATGAACACAGAGAAGGATAAGACGTTGGAAAAGTCCCAACAACACCTTCTTCGGGCTGCAATGTTGAAGAAGCGCTATGCACATATAATCGAGAAGTCCCAACAACAAGTTCTTGGCGATGCGTATGATGAAGAAGAGATGAAGAAGAAGGCTGCATTGTGGGATAAGCAATTGCAAGAACAGAAAGGCAACTCGAAGAGAAAAAGAGATAAAGATAGAAAGGCAGCGAGGATCGCCATTGAAAGCATCAAAAGAACCGTTAGTTTTGGCGATGATCTTCAAGCCGAAAGAGATTTCTTGACCATCATTGGGTGCAGGAGCCATTAGTAAGTGTTTGATGAAACGTGAATTTTTTTTTTGTTCGATTCTACTTGGTTTTCAAAAAATAATAATTTGTTTTTGTGTTTTTGTCTTACGTTCTTTTCAAAAAAAAAAATTAAAAAAAAATTGTTAGTTGTTTCTACTTAGTTTTCCAAAAAAAAAAAAGGTTTTTGTGTTTTTGTTTTACGTTCTTCTAAAAAAAATTAAAAATTGTTGGTTGTGTTAGTTGTTTCAACTTTCAACTATATTTTAAAAAAAAGAAAAAAATATTTTGGTTTTTATGATGTTTATACTTCGGTTTGCAAAAAAAAAAAAAAAAGTTTGTGTTTTATTGTTCTACTTTTTTTCTTTAAACAAAAAGTTTGCGTTGTTTTCTAGTAATTAGTTTAGAAATACATGGTAGTATTTCCTATGAACTAATGTCAAATTAGGTTGAAGTGGAATGATGCTTTTAAGGGGTTAGATTAACTAGGCTTTGATACATATATATGTTAAGTTGTGATATAGACACAATATGGTATATAGATTTCAGTCACGAATTTCTTTTGAATGGTTGAATTAACGTGATAAACCTTTTTCCATAAATCTTAGAATATACTATACTTGTGTAGTGGATTTAGGTATGAACTTCTTTTGTGTGTATCGGACAATCTGTTGGAGGTTATTACACACACAACACTTTCTCAAACCCAAGTCTATACTATGTGATGGTTTAGTGTTGCACTTGTTAGGATTGCTATCATGGGTGAAGTAGAAGCCTACCCTGCTTTACTACCTCCGCTACAGTCTGAAGAAGGTTTTAGTTTTAGATTCGAAGTTAGTGCCTTGTGATTGGATATAGAGTTGATAATATAGATCAATTATTGGCGAGGGAGTGAATAACGCAATTAAAAGGACAGGCAATGAGCCATGAACTTACAATATATCTAGGGTAATGGAAATGCATATGAGCTAAATGCTAAATCTATCAAAAAGTATATCACAACAGACGAAAATGAGCTTAAATATATCTATTCTGTGTGAATACTATGCACCAATTGACCCGTTATGTCCTATGTTGCGTATCCCCAGGTCCTAGTGAGTGAGCCGGTTGGAGTCTCATGAGTTCCTCCAAGTAATTGAGGCTATATTTCTACTGTTAAACTAGGATCTTGGTTACATAACGAAAAGTCGAAGACTAATGCCTTTGAAGGACTTTTTCAAAATATCCACGCTCAATCTCAGCTGGGGTTAGGTCATACCTAATTCGTGATAGTAGTAATATACTCGTGCAGTACCCTTCATTAGACTTGATCCTCTTCTCCCCGTCACACATTCCGAAGACAGAGAGTTGACACATTTCAGTTGGTCTAGCCTAATCCAATGCCTTGCTATGGAATATCTAAGATTCTAAAAAAAATTTAAAATATTTTCAATCGTTAATTCAATTGTTCAAGGTAACGTGACTGTGCTAAGAAGGTGACTTGTCTATGATTGTAAAGTGATGGCAGGTCATGCTGATCCATACCAAAAAGAAGTCTTTTAACTCCGCCTGTGTTTTGTTTGTAATGTAACACAGCCGGTCCCAAGCCCGGATAAAGGAGGAGGGTTTATTGTTTCTATTAAGAAGTCAAGTCGGATCCTTGATACAAAACCATCGTGGAGAATGCTTGTGCAAGTATGTTTTTATTCTACTATTATATGTAGTTAGTTAGTCTAATTAGTGTGTGAAGGTAGCTAGTTATATCAAACTAATACAACTTAGGAACCTTCTTTTGTATTTGTTTATCCATCTTGTAGTTGTAAGGAAATAGTTATGGCATAACCAAATAAAAATTAAAGATGTATTTATATGCTATGGCATGTTGAGCGATTTTGGCTTCACTGTTTTTGTCTGAGTATATAGAGTATTATTTTTGCCGCCATTTACATTGTTTGTAATTGATGAGATCATAAGAAATTGTTAAAGTTGTATGATGTACTTCTAAATGGGGTTGTGAAATCAATGGGAATTAAACAAGGTCATTAGTTTTAGTAGTTCATTACAGTGCTCAGTATTATTCTCATTGTTAATGATGTATATATATTTTTAGATAATATTCTTGAAACAAAGTATTCACATGAGTATATTGAGATATTTAACTAATACCATCATACTTCTAATTTTAGGCATATGATCATCAACTTTAGGTTTGTAGTACGCGCTTGAGAGTTGGGAGGGAGTTGCATGTTTTATTAAAATGATATAGAGGTCTAAGGTTGGTCAAGCTAAGGGTGAATAAGAAGATGATGCAATCAATTGATATGAACAAAACGTGACAAGATCAAGGAATTGCTTAGATGGTAAACATCAGGGCTGTAACTGAGTCTGAATGGGCAGAGTTAATCAGATTTTTGATTAATATAAACTCTTTTTTTTTAATGTAATAATGAGTGATACTATTGAAGTTGTCATGCATTGATGACAATTTTTTTTTAATTAATTGATGACTTTCATTAAAATGAACTGTTAAATAATTTTAATACATTTTTTTTATGTTGATGACTTGGAAAGTAGTATTTTCGTTTGGGAGCATGTGATAAACTTATTTATTGAATTTTATATGTCCCTACAGATCTAATGATCCACAACTGATCCACCCAAATCCTCTTTTGGTAAAAAGGGTAAGTGGAAAAATATATTTTCTTGACAAAAAGTGATCGGCAATTGTGAATTCAGCCACCATTCAGCTGCTGCTCTCCGCCGTCAGCTCCGGCGATAATGAGATCCAGACCACCATTGACACGCAGGAGATCGCCTATTCATTATGCCACAGAGACCCCCACCTATCAACCTAATGGTACTCTTTTTAATTTTCACCCAATTTTTGAACTTGTCTGCTCTAATTTTCTGGTTTCTGTTTTCGTATATGGGTTTTTGTTTTCTTTCGTTTTTGGCGTGTTTTCGATCTGGGTTTTGCTTGATATGGGTGTTTGCATACTTTGATGGAAGAAATCAACTTTCTTGATTTCTATTACCG